AAACTAGGTTGAGTTAGGGCAACCCTCAATATTGAATTAAACAAGTTGATTAATCGTGGTTAAACTGTCTGACCTTAGAGTTGAGTGAGGGAGTAAGTCGATTACCGATTGTCTAAACCGAGAGGGCCGAGTGACACGGCCTTTCATCCTTGCCTCGGTTTAGCAATTGATACCGTGGTCTCCGACCACATACGCTTTCCTCTGCGGTTCACGATTAACGTGCCCAAGGCAATCGTTCCAATCCACATAGCATGGAAGCAAAACCCGTACTGGAAATATAATTGTGGGGGGAATTCCTTTTTCCTCCCAATGATTGAGATTGACAATTATTTCCACGTATGGTGCATGTTTGTCGATTTTGCAGGATGCTAAACGTGGAGCACGAGTACATCAGCTACTTGGTGAACCATGCAAGGTTCGGGACCAAGTTGCATACCAGAGGGACAGCCCGATCGGGCCACATTGGCGGCTAGACCTGGACATGTTTAACTTGTTTAGGTGTCGAGCCGAGATGTCAGGGTTCGCCTGTCACTCCCAGTGGCGCCAACTGCTATCTTTGGACGAGTTCATCTACCACGAGCTCTGCGTGGAGTTCTACTCCACCTTCGCCCACGTCGTCCCGACTAGCAAGAAGAGTCTGCCCTACGTGGAGTTTATACTGGGCAGTCAGCCACAGGTCTGACTTAGGATGCATTCGCCTAGGCCATGGGGCTCGACACGACATATATGACGATGACGGAGCGGCAGTACTCCGTCGACTTCCATTACCAGGCCGCATTCTAGGCCCTCTGCCGCTCTGAGCACGAGGAGGACGAGTTCGAGGCTAGCCGTACCAATGCGGTGGAGCTGAGGACCCCGTGGAGGATCTGGCACACGCTGCTCACTCGAATTGTCTTCCCTAGCTCGCAGTCCAGCCACCTGCTCACGAACAAAGGGCTGCTTGCTCTCTTTTCGACGAGGCATCCAGCAGAGTTGATCCACTTGGGATCTCTGATAGACACCTCTTTCGCCCGGTGTCTGGGGCGGAACAGGGTGGACACTTTTAGTTTTAGACCTTTGTTTTCACCAAAAAACTAATCCGCTAGATAATGTTTCAAATATTCGAAGTAGCGGTACGTGGGCCGACCCGGGTTGATATTTAAACATACTTACCCTATATTGCACCCATTTAAGGTTTATTCTTGGGCCTTAGGTGGGATTTTATTGTGATAGTCAGAGCGACTTAGATATTAAGCAATGTGACAGATTCTTGACCATTCGAATTGGTCATTCCTTCGCGGCAAATTTTATTACATTTTGTCAGTTGTTTTATGCATTTTTCTAAGTTCTAACATTGCACACAACCCGTGAATGACGATGAACCCTAACATGAAAAAAATACACCAGTTTTTTATTTATATTTATGTGAATTGCTTAATTAATCATTCTATAGACCCGTTAATTCATTCAATCACGCAAAATTACATATAATATCAAGTTTTGTCACGAAAAATTAGAAAACATGTCCACAAATGATGATCCAAAACTCACTTACGGGCATTACCACTACCTCTCTTGTTAAGGATATTTAGTAAAAGTGGTATTCGATTGGGTTAGAGTGTCACATGTTTTTCAACCAATATAATATTTTATTTGAGACTTCGTATAACTTTAAAAGCTATTCATTCAAGAGACATTACCACTATCTCAGTTTTGATATAATTCGATTGCGGCCTCATGCGTTTTGGCAGGACATAATTTGTAGTTTATTTTCATATAAAAGTTCATGCATAAAAGATGCAATTGAATAATAAATCTTCAAAATATTGTGTTTGAAGTATAACATGTGAAACAACTTAGTCGATCAGATAAAAAAGCACTCATCACATGATGGTAAAAACAAGCAACAAAAATGAGTAGTTAAATTAGGTACCATGTATATGTAACAACAAAAAAGTACAACCAGTGGCCAGTACCCACCCACTCCCAAAATAAAGTTAACCCAAATCCTAAAAAGGATGAGAAAAAAATAAGAGTTAATTACCCCGGTCCTTGGCGAAAAAACTGTAAAAAGGAAAGAAAAGCAAATTTAATTAAAGGGTTTAAGGCAAAGGAAGCAATTAAGATTCAATCTCAAATCTACTCTTATTTGAGCCCATGGAAATGTCAATCTCGAACAAGTTATCATCCTCTTCGATCACCGCGAATTGACGTTTGTGGTCTTTGCAGCTTGAGCGGATCACGAATTCCCCGCCAGGAAGCGCAATCTCGATCAAGCTCTCTTCGTCCGAGATGTATCCTCCGTCCATGAAATCCGGGCTCTGGAACATGTTCCCCTGAAACGGCCAGTAGTCCACCTCCGATTCCTCGCTCGTAGACGACAGCCTCCCTTTGCACTCGCCGTCGGTCAGCTCTCTCCGCCTCCTCGCTTCTTCTTCTTCTTCTTCTTCTTCTTCTTCTTCTTCCACCACCTCCTCCTCTTCCTCTTCCTCTTCCTCGATCAAAGAACTTTGCTCTTGTTCCTTTGAATATTGCTGCAGAATACCTTCGAAATCTAGGGTTTGCTGAACTAGAGCTGTCTCTGTAATTGGGGTTTGTTGCGATTGGTGAAGTTTCGATCTGGGGATAAGGATGAGTACTAGTGCTGTGAGGAAGATGGAAGCTGAGAATCCATAGCCAAGGAGAGTGGATAGGATTAGGGGAAGGGGAGAGAGGAAAGATATGGTGGAAATGTGGGTTCTGAAGGAAGTCATCTTCTCTGTTTTTTTCTAGGGTTGATCAAACCTGAAATGAAGAGGAATAAGTTATGGGTAATCTAAGCTACAGTGGTGAGAAGGAAGAACCGGTAAGTTTTGCACATTGGGTGAGGATGGATAGAGATGGAGAAGAGCTTGAGATATAGAGGGTACTATAACTGATTAACTGGGAAGATGAGATCAATGAGAATGTATGTACCATCATCTCCTTCGTTCCCCCTTTAGGTGCAGATCTAGAGGACGAGAAGGCAAGACAGATGTTGCCTGAACTAGTTGGAGAGGAGGGAGTAAAGAAATGAGGGGTTTTGATGTGTAGTGGTTTGTTTATGAGATTTTGGCTTTTGGTTTTGGATGAAGCTTGGGAAGTGTGAGTCTGTGAAATGGGAAGCAAAGTGTTCATCAACCAGACGAATTAATATGGGATTAGAGATGTTCTACCATTCATGTTGGTTTTTGTTTATGCATGGGATTGGGCATTAAAAAAAGCTTGAGAGGGGATTCTCCTAGGAAACCCCAAAACAGTAACAAACAGCTGGTATCGCTGCATTGGGTGACAGTAGCAACTAGCAAGTATTAAGTAGGGATTAAGGGGTGGGGTGGTGCATGGATAATTGGGAAGAAGCCATGTGCTGATATCTGAGCTCACCACATGGCAACTGCTCCTCCTTGAATCAAACCAAACTTGGGATACAATGAGGAAAACAATGGAGAAGACTCAGTTTTTTTTTCTTGGATATTAAAAAGGAAACAGAGAAAGAACGGGAAAGAGGAAGGGAAAGTAGTTATAATGTCACAGGGAGTTCAGACTCCAGGAAATATGAATTGTTTATAGTTGGCTAATTGGTGCTAAATAGAAATCTATATTTGCCGCCCTAATATTTACTATTTGCCGTCCATAATTTCAAAATATAAGACGATTCTGCCTTTCTTCTAACTAAATCCTAAACCTATCTTATCTGTCCTCTCACAATCCAACTGCCGCCGACCAACTTCCTCCCTCCTCCGTCCTCCCGCAACCGGCGCCGACCAACCTCCTCCTCCCGCAACCGCCGACCTGGTCCCGTCTCCTCCTCCCTCACTCCCCCCTTCACAAATAGCCGACGCGGAAGAGAAAGGAGCTCGTCGTCGAGGAAGGAGCTCGTCGTGCGGACGCGGAGGATGGGGTCCGACGTCGCCGGGCGGATGGGATCTGCTGCCACCGTGCGGACAGGGTCCAACGCATCCGTTCGAACGGTTGCGCTGGCGACCTTTTTCTCTTCAAAAAATCAATTATTAATTATTTATAATTTAATTAAATATTATGTTAAATTTTGATTTATGATAATTACGGTTGAATGCAAAACACGTATGGAATACAATTTGGTAGTTATCAAACACGTATGGAATACAATCTATTAATATATTATTTTTTCAAATAAATAAGAATCAGTAACTTAGTATTAACGGTTAATAATTATATTATTATGTTTGAACCTAGTTGCTCAGGACACGAACAATGATATTTGTTGTGTGGGTCGACTCGTCATCCGTTAGTCTGATCTCGTCGGGAGGGAAGAAACCTGTCAAAGAGTCGGGGTTGCCCCCCGGATTAAGCTCCGACGATCAAGTCAGTGTCGGTTTGTGGAGAGAGTTGAGAGAACAGATAGAGAGACAAAGTATAGAGAGATAGTGCAAAAGTAGAAAAGTGAAGAGAGAGAAGTCCCCCCTTTGGGGGGGCTTTAAGCCCTTATATACCAGTAGCGCGTATCGCGCGTCGCGCATCGCCGATTGTCCGCCCCCCTACTTAGTATGTGAACAGAGTATTTAGTAACACCCCCAACAATTGCCCCCCAAGCTGGTGGTGAGTCTTAACTCATCGCTAGCTTATTATTATATTTTTTTTAAAATCTTCGTCGGTAATTTTGGATGGAGCCCTTTGTACCCCAGTTGCCCCCCAGCTGGTGGCGCGTTTGGTTGACGCGGTGCCAGCTTCTCGTCTTGCCCCCCGTTGATGTATTTCATTAAGGCGTGTAGCCTTCACCCATTGTAGATTCTTCATGGAGCTCTCCTCGTCGGGGGTTTTTAACCCTCAGTTTGGAGTTCTCCTCTTCGGGGTTTTTAACCCTCTGTTTGGAGCTCTCCTCGTCGGGGTTTTTAACTCTCAGTTTGGAGTTCTCCGCTTCGGGGTTTTTAACCCTCAGTTTGGAGCTCTCCTCGTCGAGAGCTTGGTTAGTTTCTCATCTCCCACGTTGTTGGGTACATCTTGCCCCCCATCGGCGCCATTAACGCTCAGTAAAATATTTCAATATTTAATAATTATAGAGGGATAGAGTACTTAGCTTTATGGTGGCGAAACGACGCGAAGAGTTGTTAAAATAAGAGTGCTGCGCCAATGAATCACAAGGCGCGTATGTAGACTGCTGGTAATGTCGCTTGTCTGGCGGAGGAGTGGCGCCGGTTCGAGTCCTTCCGGCGATGACATTTTTTTACGCGAGTTGGTGGGTGTGCGCGGAGTGGAGCAAGGATGGGCCGCGTGCTGGAGTAGGGATTCGACTTGGGCTTGATTTGAAGAAGCTGGCGGAGCGGGCCGCGAGTTGGAGAGTGGCGGACACATTTGGCGCACGGGAGTGGACGACATTTTTTTACGCGAGTTGGTGGGTGTGCGCGGAGTGGAGCAAGGATGGGCCGCGTGCTGGAGTCGGGATTCGACTTGGGCTTGATTTGAAGAAGCTGGCGGAGTGGGCCGCGAGTTGGAGAGTGGCGGACACATTTGGCGCACGGGAGTGGGCCTTCTGGATCGCGAGTGAGGAGATATTAAAATAAGCGCTCCGCGCTTGTGTGACCAATGGAGCCTTGTTGCATACTGGTTAGTGCGCTGCATAGTTTGATAGTCGCGCGGTTTAGATTCCTGGCGCCTACAAATATTTTTTTGATGAGTAAAACCAGACTGGGCCGCGCGTTGGTCGTTGGCCCATCAGCCGCGAGAGGTGGACTGGGAGGCGGAGGCGGAGCGGTCATGGGCTTGGGCCTCGAGTGTAGTCAGGCCGCTAGTTGCAGCTGCACTAGTGGGGCGCGAGGCATAGGAGGCGGTGCGGTCATGGGCTTGGGCCACGAGTGAAATCAGGCTGTCGACTTCACAAAGGGAGTAGTCACGCGGGCGGTATGAAGCCTTGCGTTTTTTTTTGTTGTTTTTTTTTGGACTTTGTGGGCTCGAATAGTGCATGACTATTGCTATTTTTTGTTCTTTCGAACTGAGTGGGCGCGAATAGTGCATGACTATTGCTATTTTTTGTTCTTTCGAACTGAGTGGGCGCGAATAGTGCGGGACTATTGCTATTTTTTGTTCTTTCGAACTGATTGGGCGCGAATAGTGCGGGACTATTGCTATTTTTTGTTCTTTCGAACTGATAGGGCGCGAATAGTGCGGGACTATTGCTATTTTTTGTTCTTTCGAACTGAGTGGGCGCGAATAGTGCGGGACTATTGCTATTTTTTGTTCTTGCGAACTGAGTGGGCGCGAATAGTGCGGGACTATTGCTATTTTTTTTTCTTTCGAACTGATTGGGCGCGAATAGTGCGGGACTATTGCTATTTTTTGTTCTTGCGAACTGATTGGGCGCGAATAGTGCGGGACTATTGCTATTTTTTGTTCTTGCGAACTGATTGGGCGCGAATAGTGCGGGACTATTGCTATTTTTTGTTCTTGCGAACTGAGTGGGCGCGAATGTTAAAATTCAGACGCCACACTATTGAAACACAAGACTTGCTTGTAGTCTGGCGGCCGACTTCCTGGTATTGCTGAATGGTGGCGCTGCTTCAAGCCCTGGTGGTGACAATATAATTTTTGATGAGCTCCTTGTCTATGGAATGCGGGCCGCGAGTTGGGCTTCTGTAGGGCGGACTTGGATCCGTGACTTGGGCTTCGTTCACGTGAGGAAGCTGAGCGGGGTTAGTGTGAGAAGCGGCAAAGCAGATGATATAATAAGACATCCTCGCCTCTTAGATCAATAGTTGTTGTGTAGTCCACTGGTTCCACTTGCCTACACGCGAACCTTCGAACAAAGGTTCGAATCCCCACACCCGTGAGTGATTTTTGGAAGCGGGCCGAGAGAGTGGCGGGCGCGCGGAGCGGGCCGCGGGTCCTTGGCGAAACGGGCCGGACGCGATGGGGATCCGCGCTGGACGGACTGAACGCGCGTCTGGCTGATGTGGGCCGCTGGTCCTTGGCGAAACGGGCCGGACGCGATGGGGATCCGCGCGGGCTGATCGTGGAGAGGGGATCCGCGCGGGACAGTGCGCTTGGGCGCGGGCCAAGTTGCAGTGGGCTTGTGGCGGGCTCAGTGTGACGCGGGACGGTGCGCAACTGGTGATGTGCGTCATTAGTGGGTGGGATCATGGCCGCTTGGAAGTGTGGACCCCGAATTGGAGTTGGAGCGGAGTAAACTTTTCATAATTGCGCGTCGCACCTTCTGTTGTCAACGACATGATGCAGTCCACTGGTCGGCGCTTTAGTCTTGTGACCCTTGAACGTGGGTTCGAGTATTGGCGGCGCCCATATTATTTTTGATGCAGGAATGCAAGAGCCTTGAAGCGGAGTGGATCTGGCCCGCGCGTAAGGCGGATTGGGCCGAGAGACTTGGGCTTCAAAAGTCCGGGTCTGGCGGAGCGGAATATTGGGCCCGCGAGTTTCTGCAAAGCGTAAGCGGATGCTGGAGCCCGGATTGGGCCGTTGACGAAGTGGACCGCGAGCTGGAGTCGGCCTGTGTTGGCAGGGTCTAAGGGGGGTTTGGATGGGCCGCGTTGGATTGATGAGCGGTCTGGTCGAGTGACGGGGCTAAAATGGAAGGCGTGCCAACCAAAGCGGATGGAGGGAAAGCAGCCTCTGTACCCTGTACCTTCCTTTTGCTGGCCTCGAAAACCTCGCTTGCCTCGGTAAAGTCGTCCGCTTGCTTTTCCTGACAGAGAGGGAAAAAGTAGCTGTCGATGACTTTTGGGGAAGAGTGGGAGGAGGCCGACGTGACATGATGGTAATTACCACTCTTCTTCCTTTCCTCGTCGGAGCTATGGTGGCGCACACAACTCCGATGACCGGAGTACCTTAATCTGTCGCTTTTATTTTCTTTCTTCTTGGTTGTCGAAGCCGACGCAGCTGCAGTGGCGGATGAGAGCATTAAATCTCCTCCCCGTGGCAAGCTTCTCTCTCTTCTTTTCCTTGTATAATCTTCTTGGATCGACCTTAGAGGAAGCTGGTTCTGGTGTTTCTTGGTTTCGGATCCACTTGTTGTGGAAGAGGACAAACAGATTCTCCTCTTCTTCCTATCATCAGAGGTTGTCGAGGGTGAGTAGAGTTGAGAGAGTTGAGAGAACAGATAGAGAGACAAAGTATAGAGAGATAGTGAAAAGTAGAAAAGTGAAGAGAGAGGAGAAGTCCCCCCCCCCCCTTGGGGGGGGCTTCAAGCCCTTATATACCTGTAGCGCGTATCGCGCGTCGCGCATCGCCGATTGTCCGCCTCCCTACTTAGTATGTGAACGGAGTATTTAGTAACACCCCCAACATATTATGTTAAATATATATGATCACGGTTGAACGCAAAACAATCTTCCTCTTTGATTGTGAATTGACAACAGAAACAATCTTCCCTTAATTATCACGTCTAAGCACATAATAAGTAATATTTTTTATTATTAATTATTTTCCTCTTTGATTGCTACCAACAGAATTAGGGGAAATAGAATTTAATAATTAATTACCTATTTTGATCACTTAAAGTAATTCTTTTTTAATTTCTTTGCGTAAAAATAGTTTAGTGAATAAATATGGTGAGGCTGGATTTATAACATGGAATTAGCTACATTAATTAATATTTAATCTAATCGGAACAACGATGACAGTAACAAAAGATGAAAGCATATCTTCCCCTTTTACACATTCTACCTCTCTCAAACCCTAAACCCTAATTTCCACCAAATAGCTAACTTCAAGCTCAATCCATCCAATCTTACTACAACATTATCTTAGAGGTAAAATCGTTTCTACTTCCACTAATAACATTTGTTTGCATCATTGAAATACACATGATAGGCTAAAGAAACACCTTTATATGATTCACAGAGCCCCCAAAAATCTCAACACTATTCACCTTTTTTTGTACGGGATGTCCAATTGAGAAATGGTCAATTCTACCATGTTTGTATCCACATTTTAGAGGATCAACGAGAGTTTCATTAGTGACCGTGAACTCGCCTTGCGTCAGTAATCTTCAAATTGGCTCTGGTCGCCTTGCGCTTCACGGTCAACTCCCTTCTTCACGGTCTTGGACGACCGTGAACTCCTGCCTTTAGCCGTGAACTTGCGCTTTTTCACATCTTCTCCCGGTTTTCGATCCTTTTCGCCAATCCTTCAACTCCGAGGCTGGTTCCACCTGTTAAATCTTGAATAGCACTCAAACACGAAGAACCTCGCGTAAAACCAACCTTTAATGAGCGAATTTGGCACAAACATCTAAGTTCAACGGGCGCAAAATATGTGTAAATAGGCCCGAATCAACATTGATTTTATGTTTTCTATTTAGTGATTTAGATAGAGATCAAATAATTATAGTATGTTTGGCAAAAAAAAAATTCCTTCCTAACTACCCACGTCTCATTAGGCATTATATTCAATTTATTTCATTAATTAATAATCAACGAGATTAATGTCTAAAATTATTGATTGTTGACATACTTATTTTATTCGCCTATCTCTCCTCGTAATCCCTCCACCGTTATTTGCGGCAAACCAAACCAAACTTAATTATAACCGAGAATCCATTTTCCTAATTAACACCTTAATTTTGTTTTATATGTTGTGGTAATTGCCAATTTGCCATTCAATTTTTTTTTTTTTTGCATTAGAAGGAGGCCAAGGCCAAGAAAAGAAAGTCGCTACAGGGGGGATTATAGCTGGGGAGGGGGGGGGGGGGGGAATCGGACAACACAAACTGTCGCTCAAAGGTAACTCCCATCACATCGTCTGTAAGAATCGGTAGCAGACCTGATGGCGGGTTAGCAAGGTCATGTACACCATAGGGATAGACGAGACTGTGCTTCGAGAGCCAGTCCGCGACTCTATTCCCTTCCAGGTATACATGAGTAATGCGCACCAGCCATTCTTGGCTTAGCTTCCTGCGAATAACCGAAAGCAGCGTTGCATGAGGGCGAATCGGATCTAGTCTAGTATTAATCAGCTGGGTAGCCATCATCGAGTCCGTCTCCACGCGGATCGCCCGACATCCTGCTTTCCACGCCAAGTCTAGGCCATAACAGAGAGCCCAAAGTTCGGCTAGGATAGTCGTTGCCGAGCCGATGTTTCCCATAAATACATTCATAACTTATGTAGCAAATCAAACCTTTTTCGGTATACAGAACTACATAATCATTCATAAATTACTCACTCAACCAAAGAGAATCGACTCACGTCTAAATCAAAGTTAAAATAAATTAGTTTACAATCAAGTATAGTAAACCACGATCTACCAATTGACAATTTTAGACAAAACAAAGTATGCCCAAAGTAATATCATTAGCATTTTTTCTCTAGTTCTACCAAATTAACCAAAATCAAACCACAATCTCCCATAAATCTACGTAATTCACCTATTAACTACAAATTGACAAGTTAAATTGGTTTGTGGGTTACTTCAAACAAGCATGCTTATTTGATTTAACTTATTATTGTTAATTACTAATTATGATGCATAACTTTATAACATTAAAACTATTGTCATATAATGAAGGTGTGTCGCTTATAATTATTAGAGCGGTGTCGGAAGTCTCAAATATACCGAAAAAATGGAGGTCTTTCACAAAAATTTCGAGCGGAGGGGTGTCGGATGAC